CATTCATTAGTGTATTAATTAGATTCTGATTTCTGGAGATTGAGACACACATAGAATTCATATAGTATTAAATAGCTATACTTATGTAAATGATGTTTTAGCAGGCACATGACAACTGGTTCATACTTGTTCAGAACTTTCTTTAACATTTTTTAGATGAGAAGCTAAAGATCATTCAGCTTTTTATAGCAAGTTTCATTTACTGCCACTCATTTGGAATATAACGTGTTCGTTGCATAAATAAATAGAAGTCAAAATGCAAGTTCAGTCTGTGAGAGAGCAGGGTTTTCTCAGGTGACTGAGAAGTGTCTCTGCAAACCCTAAAGAGAGAGGTTATGAAAATAAGATTAGTATTTGCTTCCAAATAAATCTGTTATTTCTGTGTGCTAGTATCCTAAGCATAGACAGGAAGTTACACTGGTGGTCTTGTATTTGTTAATCTGAAGATGTATCCCTCTCTTTCAATAGTACTGATTGCTGCTAGATTAAGTGTGCAGTGTCTAGTAAAAAACATACCAGTTTTCTGCACGCCTCAAGAAATTTAGGTAGATTCTGTGTCTCTCTCCTTCATGTCCATGCATACATGTAAGCGATTAAAAAAAAATTAGTGCATAACTAGCTTGGTATGATTTGTTAACTTCAGTGTGATTATTTCTTAAAGTGAGTCATAAAGTACTATTAAAAGTTTCCTACTAAGTTATCTTGGATTTGTTGAAAACTTGATGTTTTATTTGCTAAGGAAGTGATGTAAATTTTTAGGAACGACTCTGAATGTGCATAAACCACCACTTCAAGAATAATCTTGAAATTGAATCTTTGGTTGAGGAATACAGATACCGCTCTTGCAGTGGCGTCAGAGGAAGTAATAACTGTACTGATAAGAAACAGTAACATGTACTGGCTCTGGAGCCAGCATGCTAGGTGGGTCCTCAGTTTCCCCAGGCAACCTAGTCAGTCATCCGGGGCAGGAATTCAGTCGGTGTACTGTAGTTCCCTTCTGGTTCCCGGAAACAACCCAAGGAACCCAGGGTGCAACAACTTGTGTCTGTGTGGAGCTGGGGTACATACATCATGTGAACTGGGAGGTTTATGGTCAATAAGTAAGTAAATATAGTTAATCATTTTAAAGTCATATTTTTGTTAGCATTTTAAGTGCTTGCATATCTAATTTTAAAGTTTACTTGGAATGAGTGGCTTTATTCTGGAAAAGTCTTTGAGTATGCATTTTTGTTAGTGACTCAGTGCAGAACTGAACTCCTAGATCAAAGACAGAAACCAGTGAGTCCCAGTTGGTAAGTACAAGTACAGTGATAATTTCCTCTCCTTCTCTTCCCCCTCCCCCCCCCTCGGTGATGATAAATATTAGGAAATGTCATCGTAGTACAAAGCAGGCTGCTTCATAACAGCTGGAATATAAGTTTAGTTCTGTTCTGTTTCACCTGAAACATCAAAACACTGCTTGGGTGTATATGTATGTGTACAAACTGATGTGCCAAAGGTACTGGATGAATGCAGAACAATCTGACGAGCGCAAAAGTTATTTTTCCCTGCTAGTTTTTTTGGCTGAAAGGGACAGTACTGCTGTGTCTGGAAAAAATCATGGAACTATATAGAAGTAGTATTTTGGAAATAATATTAGAAGTAATAATGGTATTAGTAATAATACCATCTTCTGCTAAGCAATAAAAAATTTTTTAGCTCCTGCCTAAGAATTCTGGCTCTGGACTTTCCCTTTGGGATAGGTCTACCAGAGGTCCTAAGCATGCAAGTGTAAATGACTTTCTAGTTTTCTCAGCAATATCAAGATTTTGATCCTCAGAATATCTGTTCGGCAGCCACTTGGCTCTAGAAGCACCTGATTTACCTTTTTACTAGTAGAAGCATGCCTATCACCTACAGTATGTTTCTCAATATGGCATTTCAACTGTGTTATTTATTTCACACTCATTTTGTCCGTTATAGGTGCTCCTGATTAAAGAGTGATTGAGCCATAGAGAGCGTGTACCCTTATTTCCATGTTTAAGGTGTTGGTTTCGGAAGGGAGAGACCTAGGATCTGTCAGTGTTACAGTGAATGTTTACACCATTTATAAATAGTGAAAGAGCTTTGCTTTTCCCTGACGGGGAGGGGAAAGGGTGATGTAAGACACTTCCGCCCTCGCCTTTTTTGCTTGCTGACTTAATTGACTTTCTGCTCAGTCACGGTCTTCTACAAATTGGATTCTAAATATCAGATTGTACATGCATTGACTAGGTCGTATCTCAAAGTTCAGACTTCTGCTTTGGTAGAAGTTGGCAAAAAAAATTGCTGAAGTGTGAGAATTCATAAAAAATGAGGGCTGGTGGAAGAGAGGGAGGTTTTTAAAAATGTTGTCAGGTTTCATATTGTGCCAGACAGAGGCATGAACCTTTTAAGGACTCATTGCAATATGAAGAGTGAGATGCAGCCAGGAGAATTTTTAGCTGGTTTGTCATCGGTGCAAGAGGTCTGCTTGGTGCGGATGAGTCAGGGTGCTAGAAGTTGAAAGAAAGGGAGACTTTAAAATGCCTTTTCTTTGCATTCTGATGCAGAGTTGCTCTAAACTATGCCAGACTGCCGTAACTACACAGCAGCTGCTGAGCACCCGAATATATTTTGAGTGCAGCATCATTGGCCACACTTTTTTCCTCCCATCAGTCAGTATACCCCAGCTCTCCCTGGAGAATGACACAGATCATCATCATCATCCAGGGAAATTGACAGGTGGGTGATGTTAAAGGTGCTAGTCTTACTGATTGGGCCTTTGCTAGTAAATAAACCAAGCTAAGGATTTTTTCCATTGGCTTTGAAGACAAGTAGCGCAGTACTGCCGCATCCACATGGCTAAGCTCACTTCTCCGCAGAACTGGGTGGACTTCTCCATGCTGTTTTTTTGAGACCAGAACTTGGCCTGTGATATCCTCCACAACATGCTTCTGCACTGTCTGGGAGAGTGCTAGAGGCCAAAAGCCGTTCCACAGAGTGTGCTAATGATTAAACACAGTGATCAGACCTGTGGTTGGGCCCATCCCCTGGCACTGCTATTTTACTAGTCCAGCCATAGCCATGGTGACTAGGACATGACCTGTGATGGGTTACACTTCTCTCGGAACGTTCAGCACAAACTCATTTTTGGTGCTGAGGGACACATCGCTAGCTCTTGGCATCATTGGTGTGTGCTGCCAACCTCGCACCAGCTATCAGAAAACAAGGGCTACAGGAGCCCTTGATTTACAATGGCATCGTTACTTTTTTTGTGACAGCACCGAATAGTTTACTTGTGTTTTATGGCATTTTATAAATGAAATTAAATAGCACTTGTCAAAATAGATTTTATTTTGTAATTTGTGTTCTTGTAAATTATTTTGTTTTTTTTTTTTTCAATTTTATAAGGGCTACGTTATCCATTGTAGTCATCAGAGAGAATTTTCTACTTTCTGTCATGCTATCATGGCAAGGGTAGGTAGGTCAGTTTATATGGCCTTCTATTCATCTCTCTGCTTTGAAATATGTGACTACTAGTAATATTTAAATAGCTTGCTTTCTGCTTCTGTTGATTGCACATACAGTAGCGTCTTTGAAAAACTGTAAGAGTGTTGATGTCTCTACTACTAAAGATTTGTCTTTGATCTTGGTGAGTAGGAAGATCTTGGAGGGCACCTTTTTGATTCCTAAAATACTAATCCCGTTAAAGCATTCCCTTTACCAGTAGGTACAAATGTGGAATTAGATTTCTGTTATTTCTTTTTCCATGTGGCAAAACTGATGTTTTTGGGGAGAAAAGTGATTCATGCAGTTAGAACAAACTTAAACTAGTCTAGAATGCCTAATCATTGCGTTATACAAGAAGCCTTGTTTTTTGTGCTTGTTACAAAAATTGTGAGACTGCACTAGTAAAAGTACATTTTAATGTAGAATAATGTAATGTAGTTAATACATGTAATATGTATTCCAAAAGACCAAATTGGCGCTGATTATCTTCACCAGTCTTCCATTCTGAACACTAATTTCTCTAAACTGTTTTGGATTACTATTGCTCTCATCATCCAGGTCTGTAATTGAAAGAGAAAAGGTCCGTAATCCTTGTGGGTGGCCAATTAAATGTTTATAAGTAGGTTGTCGTGTAGTAGGGTGTAGTTTGGGGCAACGAAGGTTAATAATACTATAAAATTAGAGGCCATGTGAGGCTGTCGTCGCCAATAGTGCGCAAACTCCCAAGGCTCCCATATTCAAGGAATTACAAATAACTTTGTATAGAACTGTAAGGCTGTTGGAGATAATGGCTGCATTGGGAAAGAAGCATTTTTTCTGGTGTGATGTGCATGCCCATGAAAGGGCAATAATTTGAAACAATATTAAAAATATTTATATTTGAAGCTACGTAAATGGATTCTGATAGTTACAGTGTTGTTTTGTGTCTGATTTTGAATAAAAAATTTGCAAGGAGTGACTGCAACTTTTGGTCAAATGACTTTTGCGTTGAAGGGCCATTTATGTTCAGTGAATGTCCTCATTCATTCTTCTTTGATGTACAGACATTTTTAGATCTTCTTACATACGGTAGAGCATGTAATGTTGAAGAGCAAATTGGTTCCCTTAAGTATGATGGCTTAATCAGAATGTTGTCGTGCTCCCTCTTTAGATATGAAGATGCGATTTATTGAAGTGTTCTCAAAAGCATTTTCTTGGCTAGTGGAAACCTTTACAGCCCTCCTCGCTGCTGAAATGGGCAGTTTACATCCTTGTCTATATTGCTGATTATGGTGCCTTATGGTACCTGGACGAAAAGGTGAATGTTGCTATTTCAAGGGGAACCTGCCTATGATTTTTGTGTAGGTCATAATCCTTGATTTTTAATGCCTGTTCTTTTGTTTGGGTATAGCGATCTTACAGGGAGGAGATTTAATAAATGTGTTAATGTTCAAAGTGGATTTTGCTTCAAAAGACTTTTGGTTTTTACTGAAATGTTTTTTCCTTTAAAGATGACATTGTGACTCTCACCAAGTTCAAGCCATGGTGGTCAGAAGGTATTGTACTAACCAGCTTTCCTCCCTTTTATATGTGTCCTCTGTTAAGTTTCTGTTTGCTGAGAGCCTCTGGGAAATAAGACTTTAGCTTGAGTCGTTAATATCACATACAATCAAGGTTTTTTGCGGTGTGATTTTTTTTTTTTTTTTTTTTGCCAGTCAGTTCTTACTTATCTATGTGCTGCTCTCTTGGTCAAGAACTTATCAGGCACCTCCATTCCCAGTGGAGTGCGTGTTGTGGTTCTGTGTTGTGACTCCTTTACACCTTCTCACATGACATGGACATACCTCTCATACTCCTGCTGTTAAGGAACGTGTTCATGTGCTTCTCAAGGAGTGAACGTTTTGAGTAAATTCTACTTCTCATTTAACAAATGTTTTGCGTTCTCTTTTTTGTCGTCTTGTGTTTTACTTGTTCTGTTTTATTCCCCTAGATCAGAGATGCCAGGAAAGCAGTAATGGATTTCTTTTCACAAGTTGCATATGTAATCAACTTTCTTACTGAAAGAGCAATTAAAAAGTAAAACTCTGAGTTATGCTTGTTCCTCAAGTTAAACTTTCACAGTTGTAGGAATGGTAATCCAGAAAATACAAAACTGAAGGCTGCAGAGTCTCAGTTCTCTCAGCAGCATAGCCAGAATTGAATTTTGCTGCCGCAGAGAAGTCGTCTCAGGCTACTTCTGGCACAGAGGATTCTGTGACAGAACCTTTGATGAAGATCTCCAGAACTTGAGCTTATGGCACCTGGGCCCTGGGCTTGCTACTTTCATTAAAGCAGCAGCAGCAGCAGCTAACCTGGTTTCTAGCAGTACAGGGCAAGTAGGCCTTGGAGCATGAACTTTATGCTCCCTTTCTTTCATCAGCCCACAGTCTGCTGTACTAGGCAGCTGCCTAGCTTGCTTTTGTTTAGAGCCAGCCTTGTCTGAAGGTACAGTCTCTCTTAGGAATATTCTTGCACAAACAGTTTCTGAGGTAAATTAGTCTGAATATTTTGATAGTTTATTTTCAAGTAGACTCCTGTGTTCTTATTGTGATGTTCTCCTGTTCCATTCGTTTATCTTGGGTATTGAATGTTTGTGCTTGGGGAGGTGAACTGAATTCAGTTCTGTGCTGCAGCTTTTTCTTTAAACCTTTTCAGTGTTTGGTGTTCTGTTTTGGGAAGAGTGTAGTCCCTGAAGCTTTTATGCTATTGTTGGGTAGGAAGAGTGAGCCTAAATCAGTTACTTCTACACGCTCTTTTTAGAGGTGACTAAACACAGGTCTACACACTTATATCGGCATATGCAAATACCTTGCTACAGGTGCATAAATACAATTTGTGTGTTCAAATTGTGAGATATTTAATACAGCCTTTGCAGGCATATTTTGCTGTAACGAAATAGCATGCAACAACTTTAAATGTGTTACACTGAAGGTGTTTCTGAATGCTGTATTATATCATTGACCAGTTTCTCTTTGCATCAAATGGGCAGTTATAAATTACAGGGACCATTATTCAATGTGGTTTCCCTGTAATGTTAACATTTAAGTAATTGGTGGACTAAGTATTTGTGGAAAAATCATGTCAGAAATAGCACTGTTGTTAAAATTAAGGACTTTGTTTGAAACAACAGGAAGTTGGTAATTTAAGCGATGTTGTTGTCCTTGATTCTTTCACTATACGTTCGTTATGTGGGAATACATAATACGTAGGGCCCCAATGTGTTATCTCAGGGTTATACACCATTGATCCCTTAGCCACAAAAAAAAAAAAAAAAGCAATTTCGGTTTCTAGCAAACAACCTCAGAGATAATTGAACTGTAAGAATTCAGACAGCAAAGTTCCCAGTGTGTGACCCTTATATATATTAACCTCTCAGACATTTGAAGCAAGAAAAAATTTTATTTTCGCAAAGACATGATGCTGACAGATTTTGTTTGTCAGAGTTAAAAAATTTTTTTCTGTGACTGCCAGAACTAGCCTGGGCAAATTGAGGATATTGTGTCTCATAGAATTCTTTTTCCCTTCAAAGAATCAATCTTTAAGACTTTGTGTATGTGAGTATTATTTTCCAGCTCTTGCTTTTGGTTGTTCGTTGTATGGTGCCTTGAGCGTTTACTTCATTTTCAAATGCAAGAATATTTCTAAAAGGAGGAATATGCTCATGTGAATCTTTCCTTCAATGTTCTTTAGGAGAAGAATGCAATGGACCTTTATGTGAAACTGTTTCAACCACGGGATCAGAAATCCCAAGCAGCTCTGAGGTAAGGTGCAGTACACCCAGTGTTAACACTGCAAATCTGTAAATACTAATGTTAGAAAGAAAGAGGAGTAATGCTGCGAAAGATGGTAATAGTTCTGAAAAATATTTCTTTTAGGTTCTCTGGTACTTATGGATTTATTCATGTACAGATTTTCTTCCTCTAGTGGTTTTTAAGGAGCAAAGCCATGAGGGTAATGCTGCTACACACAGTTTTACAAAAGATTTTACAGCACATCAGTGCTAACAATAGTGGAAAGCAGCATGGACTTAAGATTATTTCCAATACCAATCTGAAATAAGAGTCACATGATAATACAGTGTTTTGGCAATTGGAAAAACATAATGCTCCTGCACAAACCCAGCATTTCTGTTTATGCTGTGTGTTACGCTACTGGTTTAATGGGGAAATTGAGGCACTGTTGCATCACTGTGCTCTAGGAGCTTTAAGAGTGCGGCAAGATTTATGAGAAGCTAAATGAAATTTTGGTTATAATACATATATACTTTTTCTTGCATGTGCAATCCAAAAAACATTATCAGCCATTTGTTTCTCACAGCAATGTACTTCATCGCTTAATACATGCAGTACACAATATCTACTTAAGACGGAAGGGTATGTTTACTGTTAAATTAAAAGCAGATATAAAATAGTATCAAAAGTACATGTCTTGAAATCAGTATTTTAACTTCTTCATTATAATTTTCTTCATTATGGTTATTACTATTATGTTTTTAGAGGAAGATAGGGATAGTTGCTCCATTGATGTGCGGTCTTGTACCGACTGTGAGCGCTCATATGGAATGGTATCTGTCGAATTGAACGTTGGCAAACTGGTTGTTCTGTTGAACTCTTTTAAGCGTAAAACATTTCATCACTTACCTCTAAGAAGCAAATGGAGAGATGATCCTGTGAAAAGACAGAGCTTGGAAGTGCTTCCTAGATTACACAGACCTGTGTCTTGCTGTCACATGCAACCATTCATATAAATATTTATGGATCTACCAAATTCTGTCTTAATAGTTAGTATTTTGATGTTGCTTCCTCTGTCTGTTGGAGGACTCTTGTAATGATCTTTTTCTTGAGGAAAATTTTCACTGAACAGCCGTATCAACTGCTTCACTGAAACCTGATCTCAAATTATATGAACCATGATACCATGATATGCAGCAGAGTCTGCATCTGATTCTGAGTTCCTTTTGAGCATCTGTGTGCAGATGGAGATGACCTATTTCACCAAAATCTGGAAGAATTCATGTGAGAAGGGAGGGAACATGGGAGAAAGGATGTGAGGCATGTATCTTGTATCTGTGGGGACATGGGATTTGAACCTTGTTTCAGGGTGAAGGATGCATGATGGAGTAGAAGAGGAGATGCTCTGATCTTCAGCACTTTCGTGTCTGGGAAATGAGCCTCCTTATGAAAGATGCATCTGATTACCTTTGTACAATCTAGCTTTGATAAATTTGTGCTGCCTTTTCTCTCTTTCTGCTCTAGGTATCTTCCTTATTTTTCTTTATAATTTGTTGTGAGGTATCAGAAAGTATTGTCACACTAGTACTTCTGTAGTTGACCAGATCTCTGATTTCCTCCCTCCCCCCAGAAGAGATAGCACATTTGTTTTACTAATTTTTAAGGATTCTGAAATGAAGCTTTTTTAGTTATCCCCCTAGAGTTCTGTAAGCTTTTGAGTCTTGCTTCAGGCTTGATCACAGTAATTTTAGTTTCTGAGAATTGATTCTTCTCGGCCGTCTTGCATTTGTATCGTTGTTTCATATCATGAAAGCCAAAAAAAGTATTCATGGGATCTGGGGTTAGGTTTAGAACATGTTTTGTCTTGAACACGCTGTCGTTGCATGTCAGCCTCCAATCTTTCTCTTGGACCTAATCCAAATTTCTAATGACTTCTAATGACTTTAGATTAAGTTTGTTTTTTCCAAGTGAGCTGGTTGTCTGATGCTTTCTTACGTTTGAGTTAGTACTTCCTCTATGCTTTGCATCCTCCTACCCCATATCTCTTAAGATAGTCTCATGTACCTGAGTTTTTCCCTTCCTGTGCATTAACCAGACATAGAAGTTACACAGCGACTTTTAATCTTCTTGCCCAGTTTAACATTCTTATCAGCAGTGACAGCCTTGACTCACAAAGATTAATGTCCTAGATATTCAGGTGAAATTGATGAAGTTTTTTTCCATGAATTCATTTCAACAGTAACATAGCCCAGATTTTTCATATAATGCTAATCCTTTTTCCTCATGTTTTGTCACAACTTCAGTTTTATTCTCTGCACACCAGAAGAATCTTCTTTCTCTCAGTTCTTTCCTAGGCTGCCTTCATCATCCTTAGTGCACTCCAGGGAAGTTTAGTAAGGTAAACCGTCCTGGCATAAAAGTCAGTCCGCGGTTTCTCCTCTTTCTACCAAGTCTTTTGAACTCAGGTCAACAAGTTGCGTTCTTGTTCTTGGCAGACAGCGTATTTCTCTTTTATAAGTGTACTCCTGCAGTAGGTTTGTTAATAGGTCTTACAAAGGAGTTCTTGGTTGTATACACCTAACTTGCTCCTGTGCACCATTTTCTTTATGATACTTCACTCAAAACTATGCTGCAGTAGGAAGATGTTAACACTTGAAGTCTTAAAACCATTTAATTAATTAAAGGAATTTAAAAACAGAAATTGAGTTGATTCATAAAAGGGGCAGTGGCAGGATTTAAGTGAGTTTACGTTCCTGTCACAACTTCATTATTTTTGGACTGTCTTTTTTTTTTTTTTCTTCTGGAAAAGAAAAAAGCACATAACTTACAGTATTAACATGCTTCTCAGCAGTAGGGAGAAAAAGTTATGGCTTGTACTGTTGATTTAGCAAAGGAGGGAAAGAAGACTCTGGATTTAAATATGGAGAACATAAAACATTACCTAGCTGTAATTCAATGAAATAATTTTTTCTTTTGTAATTTGTATAACGTTTCTGAACAAGGAATGGTTTAAGTCAAACGAAAGCGAAACTGAAAAAGCATCTGCAGCGAAGTGTGCCAGAAATATATACGAAACAGTCTGACAAACTCTGGTCCTAAAAAAGCAACAATAGTTACCATCCGTGATGCATTTTGTTCTTCCTCATGGCTTTGCGTTTGTGCCCCCATCTTGTTCCCTGTTTGTTTGTTTGTTTTCCCCCCTCTTGTTTTTTTATCTGCTTCTTGTTGAGTCTCCTTATTTTTCTTCTTCAGTCAGTCTCCCAGAAGGATGAGAGAAACCGAGTTACTTAGAGTTCAGCAAACTTGCGTATTAAAAGCTTTATATCATGAGTCATCTCAAGATGCTTTCAGTGCAGGGAGGCCTGGAGAGCTTTTCAGCAAACAGGAGAGGAAAGGAAGGAGTTATGATAGGGTTACTTTTCAATAGAAGCTGCAAAGGGGACTGTGCTTCCAACTGTGATGGTTAAAACTGTAATTCACAGACAGCCCCTCCTGATAGGGAGAGGCAGCCTGCCTAAGTGATTCTGTAGAGAATGTAGCTGAATTAGGTTTTATGGAGTTCCTGTTTCAAGGGATCTGTAAATGCCTCTGAATGAACCAAAAACTGAGAATCTAATTTTCCTGCTGTACTTTTATGTTCTAGCAGAGTTAGAGCTAGAAAATACATAATGGTACAACCATATTTTGATAGCGTGTTGCGTCTCTTTTCACTAATGTAATTAGGTAATATTTATGCCTCCTGTTCCAATTAGGAAGTTTAAAATCACTTACAGTGTTTGCTGTGTATACCTGCTGCATATACCCTGAGTTCATCAACCTCGTGAAAGGCAGTTGCGTTGTTCCCTGACTGAAGCTGCAGGGTTGTGCCCCCTTCTAGCTATGAGAAGCTAAGAATTCTTTTTTTGGCAGAGTAATGTATTAAACTTTTACCTTTTGTAGTCGTTTTCCACCGAAGAAATGCTCACTGGAAGTTTCCATTAATCAGAATTTCTGTTAATTGGGATTTCCCTGTATTGTGGCATAGACTTGACTGTGAGAACCAGCAGCCTTTATTTAAACTGGGCTGTGAGCAGAAGTAAGTTTTTTGTAGCTCCATCAAATGTATTTAAATCAGTGCATTTTACCAACACTACCAGTATAGCCCATGGACTTTTTTTAATGATTGCAAGCAGGAGCTCAGGATCTTTACCTCTCTATCTCAAATTAATTGGTTCTCTCTGGAAAAACACTGTCATAATGCTCATTACTTTCTTGCTTGTTCTTATTTTAATTTAGAGCAGTGTTTTTATGTAGACAGGAGCATAAAACACCATTATTGATTGTGAAAATGGACCAAATTTCAACATGTAGGAAGAAACACAAAAAGGCTTGTAAGTGTAACTGTGAAACGTAGCCTGAGGCGTGTTTTGGAGAGAGACGAAGAGTGTGCCAAAAATGTATGAGTGAGGATTCCAAATGCTACGGACCAGCTGAACTCTGCTGCCACCAGTGCCAAACTTTTGTTCTTGACTTTAATCTAAACAAAGTTAGACTGAGTGTTTCTGAAAGGACTGTTTAGTTCTTGTTTTAGGGTTATTTTTTTAATCAGGAAGCCTGCTGTGCTGTATGCAGACTTTGACATAAAATGAAAAAGTGACATCACTGCAAAAGTTCTTGCTTTTAAATATTCAGGAATGGGTATGTTGGATATCAGTAGTTTGACAATACTTATACCCTGTGACTTCAGCTATTGATTTCAGAGCAGGGTAAGTTCCCTGGATTAACAGGAAAGTATTTTACAGAAAGCATAGGAACACACAAAAGGTTTTCAGCAGCTAGACTCTGCCTGCTGTATGTCTTCATCCCACACTTTAGGTTTTTGCTAAACGTATTAAAGTACTATCTTTGAGTGAAGCAGTGTGGGCAGTATCTGAAGGCCAGTAGGTGGCTAAAGCCTATATTTACATCTAATCATGGGGATGGAAAGTTGTGAGTGGAAGGAGTATGGGAAGGAGACTTGAGCGGAGGAAGAGAAGGAGATAGAAGGGTGTCAGCTTGCACAGGAAGGGTCCTACGTGAAATGAAGAGGTCATAAATCCTCTGGGGAACAAGGAAAAGCAAGACTGCACTTTCATTGTTCACAAACTTGTACAGTACTTTACATGGCAGATATTTTCAGAATATAATTGGAGAAAACTTTCCACTTGAGTGTCTCAACCTCTATGTCTCCACAAATAGCACAGGTTTTTCCATTAGGATCAGTGACAAGAGGGTAAGACTTGTAAAGGGAGTTCAGACTACCTTGGGATAAGAGCACAGTGTGGTTATTTGTATTTGCAGTTTTTCTCTTCTCTCTGTGGATTCCTTGGAAGAAGACAGATAGATTGATCTTCCTGTGTTTGACTAAATTGTGAAAAAGACACTTTTTCTTATTTTGATAAGCAAACACTCAGAAATGGCAGCAGTGGCAAAGAATGGAGAGACATGTATTTGTTCCCTCACAAGTGTAAGCAGGAACAAAAATTGTGTATTTTACAGAAGTATACAAATGAACTGTTGTGGTTTCTCTAAAGTAAAATTTTAACAGAAGAGAAAAAGTGAACAAGACTGATCAAAAATGAAAATTTTTAATTTCAAAATTAGAAGACATCCAATTTTCATGAAATACCGTGCATTTGTGAAATGGTCTTTTTGAAGTACTACAGCCCCAAACCAATAAATAATGATACAATAATGAAATGGTGTCAGTATTCTGTTGCTGTTGAAGGTTAGTTCCACTGCATAGGGAGCTGCTGTATTTTCTTACAGCCTTCCTGCTGTTCAGTTGCACTGCTTGTACCTATCTGTTTTGAGTTGTTTTCAGAAGCAAACATGAAACAAAACTGTGGAAAATTACTAAGTAGTAGAATTAGATATTGCACACCATTATCCTTTCCATTAGTAAAGCCTGATCACAAAATCCCTTGTTCGTTCAACTAATCCTGCGGTGGTGAGGCCAACACCCCAAATAGTCAATGGATGTGTCTTCACAAAATAGCTCTGCTTCGCAAAGTCCTCTGTGCCGGTCATCTAGTCATCCAGTTACAGAGTCTGGGCAGAGGATGTTACAGCTCATGCTCACAGAAATAACGTGCACCTGGGTCTTGTATGATTAAAACTGGACTAGGCATGTATCACCTGGCATGTATCGGAATTAGAAGCTGGGAGGTGCTCTCAAGCCTCGTTAGGCATAACCGTTATAATGACTGGTAAGAATTTGCCCTGTCTCTGTTAGTAGACTATTAATTAATTTAGTCATTTGTTCCTATTCAGTGTACATGGTATAATTTCTATTTGCTTTGAGAAGATAGCTAAATAAGTGGCATCACGTATGTACTGAGTGCAAGAGTCCTTGCTCTGTATATTTTCTCTCTTTTGAAGTTAAAACAAGAAAAATATTTTTAATCAGTTGTTCTTTATCATTTTGTAAACTTGCAGTCTGTGCCAAATTAATTACCGACTGTAACTGTTATAATGGAAATGCTGAGGAATACTGCATAGCTTCTCTTAAAAGTTGTTCGTTCTTGATCCATAAAAATCAATGTGGGCCACGTAAAACTAGTTTGGAGAGCCAGTTGATCTGAGGAAGTAGAGATTTGTTTAAACTTCTGATATCTGAGCTGAAAATCCAACTATAATTTAGAATAGCTTTTCACCAACGTAAACCAGAAGCTACATTGTTTCTTCTGAAATAGCCTTTAAAAAAAAAAAAAGCATCCTTTGAGTCATCACTAACAACATTATGTTTTTCCTGCGATACCACTGGCAGGGCCTAAACAGCACTGAGACTGCTTTACTCATCCCTGATCATCAAGTGGTAAGCAGTAAAAAATATTCATGCTTTCTTGCATGAATTTGTGTGGCGTCTTCTATTACCATTTGCCAAAAAGTTCCTTACCAAAAAATTTTCCAGTTTCAAAGCCATCCTTCCGAAAATAATTGTTTTTGAAGCATATAAAAATGAGTGTGGTTTTAAAGTTTATTCCCAGTAAATAGCCCCATGAGAACATAATGTGATGGTTTAATTGATAAAATCAAGCCAATTGAAAGGGTTCACACAGTAAATAATAGGCAAATTTGAGAAATTAACTATTGGTGGAGAAAACTGGAAAGTTTTGCTTTTTTATTATTATTTTGGTTTGATGGGATATATAATATATTCTGCTTATGGTGTTATTAACATATGCAGGATTCCTTTTATCATAATAACTCTGCAGGTCTCGGTCAGCATGATACTTTTAAATATTTCGAAGAGCAAGAAATAAACACTGATACTATTTGGTATGTGATGCATTTCTTATTGTAGTAAATAATAAGGAAAGGCTCAAAATATCCTCTCATTGAAATTCTCAAACATGAGAATTGTATTAATTACCAAATATACCAGAAAACTTAAATAACCGTTATTCTTTCACAGAGGAAAAAAATTAGAAAAATTCATTTAAGATAACTGGAGAAGTACATGCTGAGGTGTATCAAAATTGTCTGCTTGCTTCCACTGGGCTCTGGTGTCTTAACACATTCTCTCTTAGCATAGTTTTTATATTTTCTTCTTTGTTTTGTCCTTGTTTAATGTCATCTTTTATCCGGAGAGGTTTCCTCTGCACATTTAAATTTTAATGTGAACATCTTTGTTTCTTTAAAAAAAAAAAAAAAAAAAGCCTTGACATGCATGTTTCCACTCTTTCAGATTTTGATGTAGTTCAAAATTGTAAGACAAATGTGGTAAAGGTGCAAAAACATCTTGTAAAATTCAGCTCCAACAAACTCATGTTTTCTTTTTCAATGCAATATTTCTAGTCTATAGTTTTGTAGCCTGCATGAAGCATAACTGGAAATTGGGACATATGTGGTGTTAAGATTTGTTTTTTGCACTTCTTTGAAGTGGATAAGCATTTCAGTTATGGACTCCTCAGAGGAAGAATACTGATGGGAACTTTATGCAAATTGGATCTCTGATGTAAAAAGAACCGAAGTTCTTGTTGATAAACGAGAGTGGAATTTGCCTTTTTGATTTTTAGTGGACTGCCTATATATCTGCATATGTTAAATACATTTATGGGAATTTTTTGCTCTTGGAAATAAAATTTATTGAACAGTACATTTAGCACAACCGAACTTTAATCAAAGTGTTTCTTTCTGTGTAAAAGTTTATATAACTATTTTGTGCAAGCTTGGAATCTAAGTGATGGCGATAACTGTTTTTAAGTCATGGAATATTTCTTGTCTTTTCAGTTATGGAGAGATTTATTTTGGTTCAGCTTTCAAACCCTTATTTTCATGCGCTTCAGTGTTCTGGATATATTTCTGCAGTGGATTGTTAACTTATAAAGAATTAACTAATTTTTGTAACAGTCGTTTTGATTTGTTACATTGTATGTAACAAAAGCTAATTAACTATATGATTATTAAAGGTGATTAAATAAATATTTGATTTGTAAACCATATCTGGTAAGCATGCAAAATGTATAGGGATTTTTGTTTTTGTCTTTGTTTTCCTCTCCTTGCAACTTCAGCGAATTTTCACTTTTCTGGCAATGTAGGATTATGATTATATAATTTATCTCTTGGATGTGCTGATGGGGATAATATTATTGAAACAACCTTTTAGCGTACCAGTTATACCAATTACACTCATAGCTAGAGATTCTTCTTTACACTATAACTCTGCTATTGGTAATTTACCAGGTTCCTTGGTCTTAGGTTAGTGTTGGTTACTGCTCCATTACTGAAGTTACTGCTCTAAAACATCTTTCACTTTGAGATGCAAAAAGCAGAAGCTGAAGGAAGCTGACCACAGAACCTGCAGTCCTAATTCTGCAAGATTGGACGCTTGTGTCCCTCTCTGGAGGAGGAGAGAATCGAATTTGGGAAGTTTTTCTCCGAATGCAGTCTCCAAAGAGCCTTGCAGTTATCTGACTGAGTGTTAACCTGAAGAGTATTGCTCTAAGCAAAATTGCTCTGTCAGTTCTAACGTGCAGGCATGGAGATGGCTAGGATATTTAGTAGCAAGGTGAGTTCGGAGGAAGCTCGGTTGCCTGAAAGGAGAGAGTTGGTGCTAAGTAGTGTGTAAGGTTATGTGGATGATGAGAAATAAATTCTGTCTGAATCCTGTGAGTATATTTAGGATTAAATCACTCATGCCTGGCAGAATGGCACCTGCAAAATACGTTTGCTATTCAGGTACTATCATACTGTCTGATCCTTGAAGGTTAGCTGACTGAATTAACCAAGGTCAGACATCTGTGCATTTTGGTGGGTGAGTAATGCTAAGGAAATATTTATGACAGTCTCTGTCACTCAGCATCAGTCCAAAGTCCTTTCTCTGAAGCGCTTTCTGTTACCATGTTCAGTGGTTGATGCCACATCCAGTAGTTTGCTTTCCCCTCTCCCGTTAGTGGTGACTGGCCTGTTTGCTTTGGACCTGGAGAAGCGTAGCTTAAATCCTCTGTAGGCATGAGGTGGTGAAGGCCTGTTGGTGAGGTATTTAGTGGTGTGACAAAGCTTAAAGGATTGGATTTTAGAGTGCAAGTAGAGGGTGGCAACCGCTGCCCAGCATTTACTCACTTTACCCAAATCAGTTTGAGCAAAACTGAACACGGCATGTTTCAACTTTTACTTTGTCTTGGACTAGGCTTTATTTACTTTGATACTGACATTTTAGTCTTGTAACCTCTCTCCTCTGAGTTGGGTGTTCCTATGGTGGGACTCTAGTTTATATCTAATAGGAGGATTGCAGTACCCTTGCTTGTATTGTTATTTGGATTGTTGTTTGGTTGAACATAGTTCAACATGCTAACCTCAGCTGAATGTCTAGATAGAAGTTAACAATTATGGGGTAAACTGTAAATATTAATATAATTCCATATAAATCAAGTACGTTTGGACTTATGTAACTACATAAAAGGAAAATTCTGCCCCGTACAGTAGGTAGGTAGTGTTCAAGCAGCTGATCTGTCCAGATGCTATGAAGTCACTTAGTTCTTACAGAGATGATTAGACTGCTAAAGCTGGTGTTACTGCAGGAGAGTAGGAGGGTACTGTTTTTTTTTTTTTTTTTTTTGAAAATGTTTTTTGAACTTTGAACTATAAATTTGCTTTGTAACTGAAGGATGTATAGAACTCTTGGAAGTACTGGTAAATGTTAAACGTTTGCAGTATTATCCTTTTGTAGATTCATACAATAACTCGAGTTGGAAGGGAGCTCTGGAGATCTTCTAGTCCAATCTCCTGCTCGAGGTTAGGCTGACTTCAAAGTTAGATCAGCTTGCTGAGGACCTTGCTTGGTCAAGCCTTGAGAATCTCTAAGAATGGAGATGCCACTATCTCCTTGGGCAGTCTTTTCCACCTGTTCAACCGCTCCCTTATCGAGTAGGAGCATCCCTTGTTGGGACTTGGGACCATTGCCTTTTCTCCTTTAACTGTGTGCCTCTGAGAAGAGTCTGGCTTCACCTTTCCTGTAATTCCTTATTGGGTAGTTGAGGACAGCAATTATTCAAAAGCTTCTACTTGCTGTATGTGTTACTTTGGGAAGTTCTAATTCAGATACTTGTATTCCAGAAGATGTACAAGTAACTTAACAGAGTATCTGCCAACTGTGATGAGGTGTGGCTTAATTTAGTACCTGTAGGCTATCTTGAGATCAAATATTTTGGTCACGGTTCTGTGAAGAGCTATTAAAAATTAAAATTTAGTAATCCAGAATGTTTTATGGTTTACCTGTACAACCAGTGCAAATTACCAATGTTCTATATTTTTTAGGCATATCAGTGCACACTTATGCACAAAACTGCATGAATATGCAAGACTGATCTTGTAAAATCCAAGAGCAGCAAAACGGGAAGGAATAATTTGAGTTTAATAATTAGGCCTGTCATTCTTCTGTGATGAATAATTATATGTTTAGAAGGAGAAAGATTTGAGTGTTCCCTTTCTCAAACCAGATCCAAAGATAAACTATTTTATCTTCACATACCTACACTGATGGTTAAAACTTCAGTGACTGCGAACTGGATTGTAAAACAGTTTAGAAAACCAGCAGACTTTGACACTAAAGATAGAATATTACTTTAACTGTATGGAATGAGCTAATTATAACTATGCTACCCAGAGGACTTGGGAAACTTGACTTTGGCAGGAGCTTTAAGTAAATATTACTGAACTGATTTTATTTTTCTTTGTTTATGACTTTTGACCGTTCACTAGGACAAAGCCTCTTAAATTGGTGGTTGTGTTGATCTGATTTTTTTTAAAGCAGATTCCCAGTTTTATAAGTTATTAGAATGAGCTTTGGGGCTGGCTTATTTACATGCTGAATAATTCCGGTACTGCTAGTGCTGTACAGATTTGTGTGACTCTACATACTAATCAAATTGACATCTAAGCATTTGCAAATTGCTTTTTGTCACGGTTATTTGTACAAACAAATATGGAGGCACAAAACAAAAAGGATTTAGAAAATCTTAACTTTCTTTTCTTTTCACGGATTGCATGATTTTTGTGAGCCTCTTAATTTTACAAGGTCAGGTACCGTATGTGGAAGCAAAAGCACTTTCTAAGGTGCTGCCTAGATTTCAATTCTTACGGAGTAGTCTGTGTTAATTGGGCTGCTGTAAATATTTCACAAGGAAAAAAACAGAATTGCTAGAAAGTGAAGACAAACACGGTTACAGCACTTCCAGGGAATAAATAATTTTTAATATATGTGTGTGTACATATATATACATATATTTTAAAAAGTTTCATTTGCAAAAGAGTGTTTTGTACCTCCCAGAGACTAGTATAGCCACAGAAATTCATCAGGGTGCGTGAGAGGTCCAAATAGGCTAGCGTCTTGGTTCAGCGGTTGTCAGTGTAGCGGGGGAAGATGCACACGTTTGTACAAAACTATAGAACAAGTGTTTTTTAACTTGAGCTTGTTTGAAAATAAAAGCGTGTTCTGTAATACGTGGCTATTGCTTGTAATTTGGTCAGCTGTGGAATTACATGGTTGTCATTTTTCATGTTCCACAGGATCCGAAAAAACACGAGCATAAGAGAAGCATGCATGTTCTGTTCATTAGCCAGTGCTTGGTTTTTGTTGCTATTTTTATGTTACACTAAACGAAGCCTTTTATTTTTCTTTAGTTAGCCTGTTTAACTAAATAATGGCGATTAGCAGATTAGACGACTAGATCATTAGACGATTAGATTATTTTAAAATACCTGAGTTTGTTTTCTCAGTGAATGCCAGTGCTGCCTGCCTTTTTTTAAAAGATAAAAGACATTATAGTCGGACTGTGGGTGGTTGTGTTTTTTCTAATAATTGGAGGTTTTTCTTGGCTTTCTGAAGCCCACAGTTTTTCCCTAAGTTGAGCTGGGGGCGGAGGGGTGGGCCGGAGGCAGCTGCAGCGTGGGGCTTGGCGAGGAGCAGTGGGCTTGCTAACGACTTGTTGGTTATTCCAGCAGACTGGAAGGAGATATAATCTGTTCCTGAAGCGACGTCTCAGGGTAAAACAGTGATGAATGATACTGCCAGTGGCTTGGATGGCTGCAGTAATAACATGCTTCGCTGGGCGATGCCTTTTGTTAACTGAGAGCCACGTTCACAGTTACAAAGGCTTTGTGTTTTTTCAGACAACTTTTTCACTCTTTTTGCATCTCCGTATGTTTTAAGAGGGAGGAGACTGATGTATCCCTGTGTAAATTGTTTGGGTTTTGTTCCGAACTGAATAAAAGGAAAACCAGCTTCAGTCCTGTGTAAATACATGTCACGTCTGCTGATGGGTGTGGCTGAAAAAAAAAAACTTCCTCAGCATAGAGTTAAATTTAGACCAGAGTGGTGGCCTCTATAGTGAGCGCTTGGCTGTGTGAAGCTGTAGGCTTGTCAGCAAACTGAAGAGCTGACGCAATAATAAATAATATTCCCTAATATTATGTTATATTATGTTAACTTTCCCAGGACAAATGAGGTAATAGTTTCTGTTGACATAACGTTAATTATTGTAGTCTAACCCATTGAAAAAGGTGAACGTTGTTAATACAGCCTTCCAGCATGCTGATAGGTGAAAACGTGAACGTAATAGAGCAATTGGAAGACTAATTTCCCTGTTGAGTTGGTGCATTTCGTTAGCTCCTGTGCCCCCTCGCCCCCACCCCGACAAAGCAAGTACTCAGTTTTGCCTCCTGTGAAACATAACCTGTATATAGTTTGTGTGCTAATTTGGTATGTGATCAGCTAAGTATCGCTGCTGGGACACGTTTCTCTATGGTGGTTGGTTGAACCTTGTTATGGAGATGAAAATGCATGGATTTTACTTTTTGCTACCTGCCTGAAGTTGAACTGTGCCCTAGTCTGCTTTTGTGTAGAGTGGCATTTCTACTAACTCTGCAGGAAAAAAAAGGATACTGTCAAATAACACTTGCCTCAATCGTTTCTGATATATTCTAAAATCTGTGAAAGAATAAATGATAGCATTGTTCACAGGCGCTGCCACACTAACACGTTTATTCTTCTTTTAGCAGATGTTTGCATGTAGTGTGTGTGCATATAGGCAATTAATTTGGAATTTTTTTTAACTGGATGAAGCCATTGTTAAATCTTGCCCAAGTATATCTTCAGCTATGAAGAAACGGAAAATGTGAAGCAATTTAAGGAAACTGTTTTGACTTTTTTTTTTTTAGAGCAACAGCAGTACTTGACTTTTTTTTTAATCAGAGTCCTGTATTTTCCACAGATTGATAAAAGACATGAAAGCAAAGATTCTATTTTCTTCAGGGATGGTATCCGTCGAATTGATTTTGTTCTCTCCTATGTGGATGATCTTACTAAAGAATGGGAAAAAAAGTTGGTAAGTTTCTTTTTATGGTGTCTTTGTAATTCTTACCTATCATAACCTTAATATCATTTACCAGGCCTTTCAAATCATTATACTTGGCAGGATTTGGACTTTGCAAACATTTATAGCTCTGTTAAAAGCCATTCTGTATATGGACATTTTTGTGTAAATTACTATTGTTCATTTGGACCTAATTTTTCTAAATGTTTAGGGTTTCACTTACTGAATTGATCACTGCATTATTTAAGTTGGTCAATATATTATACAGACAGTGTAATGTCCAGTAACATAAATGATTTTACTGTCAAATGAAGACAATCTAATTAGTTGTGTTGTTGCTGAAACCATGTCTGTACACAGTGATAAATGAAGGAGGTTTTTTCCTAAAGGAGCAAAATGTTATCCAAATGACGTGTAAAACTAATTGATGTTATTTTACATAAATGGACTATGTTTTGATTTTCTTTGCTTTCTCTTCAGTTAGAGCAGAAACAGATTCTTAGATGCAACACTGAATCCATGCAATGTTCCTTTTAATTTCTTACACTCTTGAGTAAAACAATCTCAGCATCTCTTCTTTGAGGTTTTGGCAGTGTTTGGCCTGCTCACTAGATAAGCATCCTCATTCTTTTGGAAGAATATTTAAAGTGTCTATGAGAAGAGACCTTCTATGCAGCAGAGCACCAAGTACGGACTTTCTGCACAGTGCCAGTTAGCGATCATCCCTGAAGTTCCCAGCAAGACCTAGTTGCCTGAATGGTGGTACTAGGTCAGAAGGAATCAATAAATGACATATGTTCCTTGCTCACACAGACGTTTGGGATCTAACTCAGGCAATATGTAAATTCAAGCTATTTGTTCACGCTGTAAAATTCAGTATTATGAGCTGCAGTCAAGATGAGTAACAAACTTATATAAAGCATAAGGTTAAAAAAAGTAGGTATTTTAGTTCTTTGGTTTTTTTCTTTACTCTCTGCCTTCTTTCTGAGCCAAGAGAGATTATGTTTACAAACTGGTCTCTGCAATAAATTCACAGAAGTCTGTTCTTAAAAATGGCAAAAAGCCTTCATTTTCATGTAATCTCATTATTCTGAAAGATAAGGCTTTCTGAAAAAGTGTAATTATACAGAGGCTTATAATAAAATCACAATTACTGTGCTCTGTACAAATGAAGCTCTGTGAAGTGAAGAACACTTCTTGCCTATATGTTGTAGTATTAAAATGTTTCATAGTTTAAAAATGATAACTTCCTTTGAACAAAGCTTGCAAAATTGGGCTGCTCAATAAAATTACTGATTACATTTCTCTATGAAAGAAATACTGATTTCATTAAACACTTACTTTCCTTATACTTACATGCAAACACAATCTAGCGTAGAACACAACCCCTGCATCTTATTATATCTTATAAATATGTAGACAAATAGCTTTTAAATATATGGATACATATACACATATTAAAAAAAAAAAAAAAAAGTCTTTGTAGCTAGGGAACCATAGGTTTATTTAAAGGCATACTTTTTCAATCCCACCCTGATTTTTTTTTGACTTCTTCAGATTGTAATCCTAGCCCAATTCTGTCTTCTACCATAAAGCAAAATGCATTTAAAACAGAAGGAAGAGGAGACCAGTCAGTGCAGAGAGAAGAAAAAGATAGCCCCACAAAACATGTAAAGCCCTAAAATAAACTTTTTACACAATAAGCAATAAACTTTGTCCGTTAGTCATGCTCAGATAACATGACGAAAGAAGGGGAGATGATTTAGCAAATGTTTCAAGTGGGAACAAAAAATGAACCAGAAGCTCGCTCTAGTTACTCATTCATATAGCGTGCAGCAGTTTTCTTCTTACCTACCTAGTTTCTTCTTACTCCCATCAGGGGGAGGCAAGAGTTTTAGCCAGATGATAGGCCTTCTGCCTAGCTTAGGGTGTCAATGACTAAAGCGTTCTCATGGCGGGGGGGAGGAGGGAGCCCAAGAAATAGCTGATTTTATGGTTTCTGCCTGAGATAAAAAGTGAACTAGTTAGGAAGAAACATGCATCTGTTGCAAAAGAGTAGAACATCTGCAACAAGGTTTGTGAGACTTAATTCTGCATGCGTCCACTGCTAGTAAACATGAGTGGCTCTGTGGAAGAAGGCCTTAGGTCTGTGGCTCAGTACGTTAGCTCTGCAGTCGCAGAATTGACAGGCATGAAGGCATTTATGTTAGGGCAAATCAATTTCCATACGGAGTTTTAGGGAAGTCTGCTGCAAAAATGAAATTTACCCTGTATTTATTTCCAGCATAAGCCTTTTTACAATGAACGTACCAGTAAATTAACCCAGGCTGCCTAGCATAGAAGTACTGTGCTGTCTCCTTTGTGGGGGCAAAATTTAAATATTGACGCAGTGCAGCCTTTGGAATTTGTTTGAGATATCATACTTGCTTACTTGTACAAAAACTTGTGCAGTTTTTGCTGGAAAGAAATAGGCTTTTTTTTTCCTGCAGTACAATGACTTGGCAAAATGGAAATGCTAAGAATAGAAACATTCATAGGAAAAGTAAGAGTTGTGACAAAGGGTTTTGTTTCCTTGTCTCAAGGAAACAGCTTTATTCTGCATTTCTAAGAATGGGATGAATAACTACTTTGTGCATTTCAGCATAGCCCTGATAGGGATGTTGTGGGTGAAAGGCAGTACGTTCATCTTCTCCCTTAGCTTCATGCAGAACAAAAGTATTTAAGTTCTGTGATGTTCCCCAGGAACTTTCCAGCTTAAGCAGCTTAAATTCTGTTTTTGAATTTGCATTCTATGAGCTACATGCATAAACCCTAACCATAAAGCCCCTGTAAACAAAAATTAAGATTACATTTTTGTGAGACAGTTTACTTTACATTTTTCATCAGTGCCTCTAGCAGATTGACTGAGATTTTCTCCCCATCTATGACATATGGGAATATGGAAAACAAATACAATTAAAAAAATGTAACAAATTACTTACGCGGGCCTGAGATGTGATCTTTATTGCCCAAAAGTATATGCTTTTTTTTACAGAAAGCACCGGAGCGGTAGGACTCTCAAATCTCCATGCGGAGTAGCTTGTGTCTGTGTTTTATTGAAAGCAAACTCTGCCTGTCCCCAGTGGGGCATGGAGATACCGAAAGCAGAAATGAATTTATCCAGGCCTTTCCCACTTGTCATCATCTCAGACAGAACCTTCTGCATTCTCCCTGGCACCAGGTAGCCCAGAGCTAGGAGCAGCAACAAGTCAGATGCTTCATGCTCCTGGTGCATGCTGTTTGGCCGCCGGTTGGGAGAAGCGGCGTACCCAGCTCTGCAGGGGCAGCTAAGACCAGACTCGGTCATGGTTTGGCACTGCCCCACACTGCTTCAGAACAACTTAGCTGGTACTTGCAAAAGGCAGGTGTTTAGTGTATCTTGCACTGTGTAGGACATGCTCACAAGCCCCGTGGGCAGCCCCAGAGGCGCTGTGGTGGGCGCGGGTACCTCATCTGTCTGGTCAACCTTGAGGCCTTGTGACTGCAGGAGGTGATACAGCCACAGGTCTCTCCTAAGTGTGTCTGTTGTCACGTGGAGACTTGTAGGCAGCCAGAACTCAGTCTGAGTGCATCTGTGTAAGGCCTGTGAAGTGAATTGCATTTTCTCAGGGTACAGGTAAGAGGAGAATTCACGTATGCTCTGTGGTCCTGTAATATGCAATTGTTCCTAAAGTTCCTATTTATGTCCCAGTGTCCTACACAAGCCTGTAGTTAGAATAAGTCTGAGCACCGTGACATATAAGAGTTGGAGCTCCTTGCCTAAAGGAAGGGAAAAAGCAAGGAGGAGGAGGAGGCTTTTGATTAAAGAATAACATGTTGTAAACTTTGAAAATGATTTTATTTTTTTATTTATAGCAATAGCAATAACAACATAACAATGTTGTTATTAAGAAACAGAATTATAATAGTTATCTGTTTTCCTTAGGTAATTTGTCGTGCAGTGCTGCCTCTGCATTGGGCACGTTAGTACCATTGGACTTTGGATCTTGCTTTATTAATCTTATCAGGATGGTTCCTTATGCTCAAGCGTATATTAGATAGTGAAGTTATTTTATCGTGGTAAATGAGATATCCACAGTGGTATGATTGGAGAGGTGCATGCTCTATTGCACTATGTCCTACATATGCCACTGCAGTGTCAGAAAATGTGGTTTCTCTCTTTTACGGGTGCTTCAGAGAGGTTTATTTTTTAAAACTGTACTTAAAATATACTTAAAATGGGAGGAAGAGGATTAGAGAGGACTAGTAGTATGCTAACACAACTGTTTGTTATTTCTCCCTATCCTCTGTGATAGTGGAGTTATATAGTGTATCAGGCAATCCAGAATAGGTGCCCAAGTGTAGCTTTTTAGGTTTATGAAACAGTGAACTTGTACCTATTAAACAACATCAACAAAACAGTGCTGGCCCAAGGCTACATTTTGTCCATTTTAAGCCTTAAGTAGAGGCGTTATGAAGAAATTCAGTATTTGGCAAGAAAGGGGGAGGTTTTGTTTGTTTGTTTGCTTGTTTTTAGTAGGTTGATTTCCTTTTAAAGATGGTTATTTCCAGTGTCTGGAGAGTACATGAACGTACAATACATTTACATGTGTTTCAGAGGAGATGGCTTAGTGGGAAGAAGCAAACTAATAAAAGAAGCATAATTTCTATTATAGCTCTGCAATTTGTCACACTAAGCATATGGTAAGAAAAGGTAAGTAAGATGGGTCCAGATGCTTTGGCGCTCTCTGTTCTTGAGCTGCGCAGAAAGAGGAGGAACTGGCATGTAAGTGTTTTTAGGGACCGAGAGCCCTCTGTGGTGACCAGATCTGCTTTGTTTGGAGAAAATGTAATCCGGAATAGCACATAGCTTTGGATATTAGACTTGAATGTCAGCTTTTATATACCATCTCTGAATGTAATCATAAATCACCTTTAAGTTGTATTGTTTTCTGTGAGATCAGCAGGTCAGCAAACAGTGGTGCTCTGCTGAGTTTATACAGGTGCACATATGGGTGTTTGTGGGGCAGATGAATCAAAAAGTAATGCGTGGAATTGCCTGTGCCCCAGCCTGCGTGAGAACGCAGGGACTGTCATGTTTACTAAGTTTCTAGGCCAGTATCTAATCTAATATCCACTGATATTCAGCAAAACCAGGTATTAGAGATAAAAATGCAAGGCTATTATCAGTAAATACATCAACACATTTAGCATAGATTTGAGGACCTTTAAACCTGTTCTTCGGTCTGTATTAATGTGAGTAGTTTATGTAAAGTCAAGTGCAAATAAGGCAGCTTGCGCCTCACAAACATGGGAAAAGGAAATGGGCTGAAAACTTTTCAAAGTACTTTTGAAAAATGTTACATGGGACTGACAGCTCAGTGTAGAGAACACATCTAGCACAGCATTGCAGGTGTTAGCTAGAAATCAATGGGTAGTTTTGCTCATGCTCTGTAATGAGGATAGGGCTCAATATTTCACATAAATTTTGTTTTTCTCCTGGTAATTCTTCAGCAAATTTTATATAATTTAAAGAAAATTTATTGGATCTCCTAATAGGAGTAAAAATTGGTCTCGTCCTACCAAGAAGGAGAGGAAGATAATGTTCTTGCCTAAAGTTGCTACCTGGGAATTACCTGACAAAATGAAGAGTTCAGAGAAGTAAACCTCAGGGTCTCCAACTTACTCCTAACTTGTTGCATCGTTATCATTGACACAGAGACAGACACATCACGTGGTTGCCACCACCACCGTGGGTTAATGATCTCTGTATGAAGTCCACACTGACTTTATGCGAGCCAAGCATATATATAGGCTTACATATGATGGATGATTCAGTGGACTATTACCTGGTTTTACAGTTCAGTTGTTTATGAAGCGTATTATTTGTATTGTCTTCAGTCAGTATTTGAACATCTGCTAGTTAGCTATCACTGCAAACAATAAATAATCAATTCTTAAGCTTCCGGAATGTTTCTGCTTATCTAGTTTTTCTATTTTCTCTTAAAAAAAATGGTTTAACTTAACAGTAAAAAGCACTCCCTCCCCCCCACCGGGCCCCCAAGACCCGGATGCTGAAGACTTACGACTTTATTTTGCTGCCTGGTTTACAAATTTGAGTACTTTATGAGACTATTCCTAAACTAACAAGCAGCTCTCCAATTTTGTGCCACGGTCGCTTATATTGCTAGTGAACAAAATTCATGTTGTGTTGCCGCTAGGCTAGCCGTTACTCAGGAGTGGACTGGTATGCTTCGGCCAGTTTTTATCTGTTGTTCTGCTTTCTTATACAAATTTCGCATAGTTTAAAGGGGTCTTCATCCGTGTAGTATGAAGCAGTAGAATTACCCCAGTTCATGAGTTATTAAAGTCTGTTTGTTTATCTTTAGGAAAGAAGAAAAGAATTTGAGAACAATCTGCAAAAGGCTGGTTTGGAACTAGAAACAGAAGACAAGAAGGTATTTAAAAAAACAAAGAAATAGTTCTGCAAATTACTAATTAAATTTTTTCCCCCATGAGAAAAATTATTTAGTAAATTACTATGCTAATGAAATGTAGCAGATAGCAGTAGTTTGACCAACTTGAGTGAAACAAGCTAAATTTGTCTATCTTTGAGTTATTTTTCCAGATAGGTTCATAAGAGTTGTGAGAAGAAAGTCCTTTTGTTGCAGGAAGAAGTGACTGCATTTGATTCTATAACAAAAAGGAAGTGAAAAATATCTGTGAACTCATTCAAACCCAAACAAGTGGAAAGTATACTCACAGCTAGATTTAATCCATTTAAGCCTCTTCAAAGCTGAGTGAAGCAACTAGTATCATATTTTGAAGTCATGACTGTTGGGTATTGTAGCTAGGACGAGGAAGGACCCTGGTGTGGCAACTTCAGGATATTTCATTAGTTAGATTGTTTTGCTTAATACGTGTGGTGAACCCAGAATCCTGTCTTCCTCAGTCAGCATCCTCTTTTTTTTCTTCTTTTTTTCCCCTCTCTGCTAGAGGTTGGGTGGGGCAAAATAACTTCTGATGAAGTTTAGACTCTAACATCTGCAGACAGGGATTCACTGAGCTACGTGTTCAAAATACTTACTTGATTGCTGTAGTCTCTTGTGTGCATATATGCAGCGTATGCAGAAGAACACTCCATGACATATGCTGCGGGGTGAAGGCTGTGATAAGATTATTCTCATCATAGCTGCAAGGCAGTAACAGACTTTGTAGCTCTTGTTGGTAATGAGTTTTTGCAAGGAGACTATTATAGCCTGCTCTGCTGTATGAAAACTGCCCTCTCTAGGAAACGGAAGAGCTTTACAATGCGGCACGCTGGCATGCAAGACGTGGGTCGCCAAGGGGCGAGTGCATTGCAAGGGGCGTATTGCCAATGCAGAACGTAATGAGAGTTTTCAGGCTTCAGCATGCGAGATTAATGTAGTTTCAGAATCCTTCATGAGCTTTGTAATGCAACGATCATCTGCATCAAGAATCAACGAATCAGATAAACTTTTCAATAAAGATCCCCCCTCCTTTTTCGGGAGATTTAAAAAATGTGCAAAAGGAAAAAAATTATGTGTAACAGCTATTCTGATAAATCTTACAGCAAAATGCCGCGTAGTCTAATGTCACATTTAACTCTTCTGGGGCAGGAATCTGAAGATGGCAAAATTTATTTTGTGAAGATCCATGCCCCATGGGAGGTTCTGATCACGTATGCAGAAGTGCTGAACATTAAAGTTCCTATCAAGGAAAATGATATTCCTCCGATGGTGGAGAACCCCTTGGATTGTATGCTTACACCATTCAGGCTTCCTGAGAAGGTGATGCACCCTGAACCGGATTATTTCACGGCACCATTCAGCAAGGAGAAGCAGGAGTTGTACCTCATTAATGATGAGAGCACTTTCTTCTCACCATCCATGAGAAACAGAATAGTACGTATATGAATTTGTCCGTTTACATTTACATGTAGAGGTACAGTGACTCATGCGAGTATGCATGCAAGAATGGAATATATATAATACAAACTCTCTGAGTAGATGTGCAGACACCTAGATGCCTGTGCATCTTTCTTAAAATCATAGAGTAATATTGGTTGGAATGGATTGGGACCTTTGCAGGAAGGCTGGCTTGTCTTCAGCAGTCTCAGACAGGGTACTCCTGGTAGGGAGAACTGGCTAAATACGCAGTTCAGGTACATGCTCTTTCCATCAGCCAGTATAGGATTCTGTTAAATGGCTTTAAAGTAAGTGAGGTCTGAAATGTGTGTGTTTGAATCTAGGTTTATTATATTTTAACACGTTGCCCATATGGGACAGAAGAAGGGAAGAAGAAGTTTGGGATTAAAAGACTGCTAAATAATGGCACCTATTCAGCTGCATATCCTCTTCATGATGTAAGTACTTTAGTTCTCTGCTCCTTTGAGCGTTTCCCAGTGTTTTTATCTTTACCTTCTGTGAGACTCCTGTTTCCAGCAGAAATGAAAAAGTACTCATACCCTTTAACTTGTCCCAGAAATTAATTCTGTTTTATAATACACAAGAAATACATGCCAGCCCTGCTATTTGACTTTTGTGTGCCAAAATGTTACTTCTTATGGATGATTGTTATTTATTTTCAAATAATTTTTTTATAAATTAAATATGTAACGTATTAAAAATATTTGTAAATGTGGATATTTAGTTTTTCAATTAATTTTTGATTTCTTAGAAACTAATTTTCATGCTTTTCTTCATAGCTAAGAGGCATTCAAAAGAAAAAGGGAAAAACAGGATCACACACTGAATTTTTAGCATAGCCAATATTTTGAAGAGGCAGAGTTTTACAACACAGAACAAAATTACAAGAGCTATCAGAAACAGTGGTTGTTTTAATACATTTAATTTCTAGGAAATTGATAAAGTTGCAAAGTTTTTCTTAGTTTAGGCTGGTAGATACGTGATGGTGATGAACACTACAGAAGTTAGTCAGAATTTCGTTCTGTGCGTATTTGCATTACAACTTTAGAGGCCACAGCACTGAGCACAGTGTAGTGCAATGTCTGGAGGCATGAAAACTTGAATTTATATCCCCTAGTTTACGTCTCTCAGTGAAAGTCTTTTGGCTGTGAAATGTGAATGAGAGCCTGATTGTGAACTATAGAGAACAGGATTTAAATTTGCATTATTTTTTCATGAAGGGGGAGTAAAATAGGGAGGGATTGCCATTTTAGGGAAGCTTGAGCAAGTACATATGCTATAAAGGAACAAACAACTTATTTCAGTGATCTGCTGGAGCAAATGAGTATCACAAAGTACAGGTTGTACCAGTGCAACATTAGTGTAACATAGCATAATACGGTTTCAGTACAGGTTGGCTAAATGTCTAAGACTGATGTTTTCTGAAAATGTGTATTCTCTTAAAAAGCTACATATATAGAGAAGGTTCTGCTTATATAAAAGTGCTGAAGTACAGTGCTAACTTTGAATTTCAAGTTATTTTAATTGACCCAAGCTTAAGAGGAGTACATCATCATTAATGTTAATTTCTTTTGATGCATTATTTGAGTCTTTGGTTGAGATGTTCTGCCTTTCCTCTGATTTGCTCACAGTGTCAGTACTGGAAAAAAGCAAATGATCCAAACTGTGACAATGAGAGATATACGTTATATATGGAGTGGGCTCGTTTCTTACGTTTCTATAAAGAACAGCCTTTGGACCTTATCAGGTAAATGACTGTCTGAGAAGCATTGGTTGTATTTGAATTTTTACTCCTTTTAAGGATTGATGAGAAAGAGATACTTAATTGGGCACTAGGTCTCCTGTACACAGCAGATGTTTTTATTGGTGACTAGAAAAACGCTTTACCTCAGATCAAGCCCCATTCAATCTAGCCAGTGCTCTTGGGGTCAGATATTTTACAGATAACTCAGCTGTAGATGAACGTATATGAAGAATACGTAGCGTATTACAATCAAGATGCTGTAGCAGATATTTTTAAAGATGAAGCTGAAACTCTGAGGTTTCAACACGTATTTATTTGAAAATATTTTGAGAACAATCAGTTTGTGAAGCATGACTCTTCATTCAGTATTGAGCTCACATTTAAACTAAATTTACTCAAGATCTCTTTGATTCAGCTCCTATTCTTATATAACAAGTGCATTGCTTTATTCATGGGTTACATTTGTTCCATTTGTAGCGCAACCAATTGTGTTTTTGTGGTGAATAGCACATTCATTCTAAATGTGTGATCAGAGCTATTGCGCCCAATTTAATTTTGTATAACTGCTTTGAAAATCAGAATTGCAAATCTTTGTGTATGTTATCCTGTGGGCAGAGGGAACGAGTGATTGAAAGCTAGAGCTTCTGCAAGGAGAAAGAAAAGGTCAGAAGAGACCATGTATTTTGTTCATTCAACTTTTGTAACTCTTGCTTATGGCTGGATTCAAATCTTGTTTTTACCAGTGTATGTTAATGGATTTGCTCTTCTGTTACGTGAGAATTTTGTGCAGTGTTTCACTTTGACTGTGGCCATTTTTCTCTATTATAGCTTTAAGCATTGCTTGGTATTCCTTTTCAATTCCGTTTTTTCTATTCAGGAAGTACTATGGCGAGAAGATTGGAATCTATTTTGCCTGGCTCGGATTTTACACTGAGATGTTATTCCTTGCAGCAGTTGTTGGCTTAATCTGTTTTCTCTACGGCTTTTTTACAATGGATGAAAATATGAGCAGGTGAGTGTAATATTGAAAATCTCCTGCGCTTATGATGGTAAAAACTGAGACTTACCTAGCAAATCAAGCAATGCAAAAACTTTGCTCTTGTGGGAAAGCAGATAACTTGACATGTTTTTAATCTTGGGGCAGACCAGTTTGTTCTCCAGCGATTTGTATGGACTAAAATGGTGGTGGACAGCTAGCATAGAATTGGTGACTATTAATTAGTAAGACCGAACTTGTGGGCAAGAGGTGGTATTTTACTGCTGTTTGGCAACAGCTTTTTATATTGGAGCACCTGCAATATGTAAGATCTTAAGAATACCACTAACATCTCTCAGAATAGTTTGTTTCAACTGCTTAGTGTTCCCTTAACCTTTTAAATTTTAATTTATCTCACAGAGAAGTCTGTTGACCTTTTGCAGAGGTGAAGGGGGCAGGAGGTCATCATTTTCACTGTCAAAACCATGAGTACGAGGTAGATCAGCAGTGTTCTCTCATCAGAGATGAGTCCGTTATGTCAGAAGCCAGAGTTTGCTAAAGTTTCTTTTGTAAATAATTTAGTATTTGTTTCTTCAAAGAATCCCAGGATTTATTATATTCAGAGATTTGCCGGGGAGGAGGGGGGAAGAGAGCAGGGTTCGCACCCTTTCACTGCTCCTGATCTTAATGAAAAGGCTTCCAGGACCTTTCTTCATTTTTACCCATAAAAGACAATATAACAAATTAAAACTCAGAAACTAGCATTTTACTTGCATTTCTATACAGAATATAACTGCTGTCTGGCCTATTCTGTTGAATTATGTTATTTTGAAACTTGCATTATAGTTACCGTATTCTGAATTCACCTGGATATACTGCTATGCGTGTTCAAATTTCTGTGGATATAAAGGAAGTATGTATAGGATTGTAAACTTCACCAACTATAGGAGTTAAATTCAGTGTGGTTTGAAATAGGACTTCTTTAACAGAATAAAAAGCTGTGTCTGACTGAAGCAGCATGTTTTGCTGTAGATAGCAAAGTTGAATTAATACTTCTGCTTTTAGAAAAAGTGTGATGAGCACTTTACTGATCTGATGAAAAATAACATGGTTTATATCTCACCTGAAAGCTGTGCATGTGCAGTTCAGCTTCTTACAGACCTCTGATCCATTTACTAGGGGGAAAAAAAAAAAAAAACAAAGCATATACCAAGTGAATTGCTAGTTTTGCTCCGTGTAGCCACTGCTTTTTCTTGTCCTGACCTGACCCACTACAGGTTACGTCAGTGGATGTGACAACTATGTGAAGCTGCAAATGTTGAGCTTTGAAGAAATGAAGCTCTGATGTTTTTTTTCTGGAATAAATTCATGTAGTGATTCTTAAGATACTATAAAACAGATACTGTGAAACATTTTTTTCCTTAGCAAAGAAATCTGTGACCCTGCAATTGGAGGAGAGATCATCATGTGCCCTCTTTGTGACCGAGACTGTGACTACTGGAAGCTAAATACCACCTGTGCGTCTTCAGAGGTCTGTATCTGTTTTTCCAGCCATTGTCGTTTTGTTCCTACTGAAAACTGTTTTGTTACTGAACTCTTCCTATATGTTCTGTTGCAGTATTCCCATTTGTTTGATAACGTGGCAACTCTTTTTTTTGCCATTTTCATGGGCATATGGGGTGAGTACATTTGATAATAAGTTTATGTCAAGCAATAAGGAGGTCTTGGACAAACTATTGAGGGACACTGGGGTGGGAAGAAGGTGAAGAATGGCTTTATGTTTTAAAGTTCTGTCTCAGATACAGAACTATCTACCTGATGAAAGAATAAAAATAAATTTAGGTTACAAAGGGATTGGACATTAAAAAACAAACGACAACAACGAAAAGCAGGTGTGTAGGCTGTCTAGGATGTCATAAGCATTGAATACCCCAGCTGTTACCGTTTGTTTCTCTCCTTAGTAGCCTAACATAGAGTGGTCCACGCTCATGTAGTCCTTTTAAGAGTTCTTCCTACTGAATCCTGCAAGTTATCTGTGTCCACGTGAGGGAATAGAGGGCTTCTATGTCTTTTCACTGGAGCCCAGCACTACCACATTACCAGCAGCACTTTAAGGACGAGAATCAGTTTGCTTCCACTCCGATGAAGTTCATACATTACATGTATGTTTTGATGATGCAGAAATGGGTAGATTTCCTGAGACTTGCTATAAGGTATATATATTCACACCAACAGATACTTGTTCGAACTGTTAAGATCATGTTGTCTTGAATACATGTTCTTGAATTCTATACATCTTTATAGATTCAGGATAACATGGTTATTATTTCTCGCTCCCTTAAATACCTTGTCTGCTGTTTGGGTGAAAGACTGCATCCAATACTGTAATTAAACAGAACTTCAATTTGGATACAGATCTATTAACACACAAAGATCTGTTTGTCTATTTGTTATCAGAGCCGCTAGCATTTTCACAGAACGTTCTCAGAAATTCTTGAAATAAGATGTCATGTGCCTGTATCCTAAACCTTTCTTGGTTTTAAGCACTAGCCTTTGAGTGACATAGATCAGTCATTTAGGAAGCACCAGCAAAAGGTTGTAGAACTGCACAAGATAAAATTTGCTGTGTTTGTGTAAACCATAGTCTCTTGAGTTCAAATAACAACGATCAGATTACCGAAGGCTTACATTTTAAAACAGTTTATAGAAGGCTTTTTTAACATTATATGGTATTACCGCTTCTATAGTTGTTTGTTTTATATATAAAAACATTTCCCTCCTTGTATTTAAAAAAACAGTTCTTAAGGCAGCCTCAGTCTTGGTCACTTGAAAAGTATCAGACATTAACTGTCTTTAAAATGACCGCAATATCAAATAATCATCAAAAAAGTAACAGAAGCCTTTGAACTTAGAAACAGTTCTGCTTGTCCGTAATACAGTTGTTCATGGGTTACTCAAGGAATTAAGTGAATTATCTCAGTTCTTTTGTTAATTCTGTATTGATATTTATGTTTGAAAAACAGTTAAAGTGTAATTGAACATGGTTGTCATAACTGTGGAAATAATCCATATCCTGTCTTATCTTCCTTTTCATCCACTTTTGGACTTCAGATAATAATTGTATTTAATCCATTTTATTGTTCTTAGCTATGAACTTTAAAAGGTAGTCAATAAAAATAGATCGTGAGAGCAAAGAATAGGCTGCAGAATAGAAGGCAGTGCAGAGACAAGTTATTTAATATAGGAAATACATTTGTTCACATCTCCTAAAAGTTTTTTTTTTCCTTTTTAACTATTTTTCAACATTTTAAAATTGCAGTTACTCTGTTCTTGGAGTTTTGGAAGAGACGGCAAGCTAGACTGAAATACGAGTGGGACTTGGTTGATTTTGAAGAGGAGCAGCAGCAACTCCAGCTGAGGCCTGAGTATGAAGCCAAATGTACCCAAAAGAAGAAGAACCCTGTAACTCAGGTAAACACCTGCTGGGTTGATATGCATGCAAAATCAATTTTGTGCTGAAAGATGTTAGGGGGAGGATTTGATAATGTATGAGCATCTAATTGCTAGGTAAAGATTTGTGCAACACAGATGAGCAATACAGCATGTGTATCAGAGCAGGGCAGGCCCCCAGCTATTGTTTCTCCACGCAACAGAGTTTGATTGCAAAGATCTTGCCTTAAATATGGAGAACATGATGCCAACCGCACCCTGTGCAGAATTTGGTAACACTTACTGTTTTCTCACTGAAGGCATCCAGTTGGTGAGGGCTGAGGTTTGCACTCTTTGATTGACTAATATCAGATATAAGCTCTTTAACTGCTGAAAGCACTGTTGCTTGTTAGCGCTGGTTGGTACTGGAGCTAATAGCCCTGCCTTTCAGGGGTCTGTTTATCCTGACGCAATGCACTGTGGTGTGGCTGTACTGCTTCCCAGTCCAAAGTTAACTGTAACTGATGACTCTCAGCACTGCGACCTGTTGCATGACAGGCATGCCCCATCTCTTAGCTCATGGTTCTCTTCATGCAGGTGTCTCTTAGCTAGACTTCTTGACCTGGAATAAATGAGAATGTGTTTTTTTCTTCTAGGGTATGTTCATAATTTTAATTAAGTATCCTCTAATGACTTTAATTTCCACAGGAAATTGATATATTAAATGAGGAATACTGAGTCACAGCTTATACCTTTTATTATGCTAACACCATCTTTGCAGTGTCATTCACATTTCAGCATGGCAGTCTCTGAAATCTTTGTGCTTTCAGTAGAGCGCTCTTTCTCATCCTTACACAACATGGAAAGGAACAATTGTCTTGATATCGAGATGGTTAAGTGTGACATTAGCTGTGGTTTCACTTACGATATCCGGTCACAGTTTGGGGAGCACTGGAGAGGTGAAGGTTGCTGAAGTCCTTTGTCTGAAATCTAACTGAGATACAATTAACCACGCTATTTAACTCTTAAACGCTCTAGCTAAATACCTACTAGAAGTTAATCGTCTTCATTAAAACTTATAGGTAGGAGTTATTTGACAAATTTAAGGACCAGATGGTTACATTCCAGCACAACATCTACCACCTCAGTCAGAAGTATTTAAATCCTCTTCCATCTTCCTATAATTGCATTGTATATAAATAATTTATTTTTACCAGTCACGGGTATACTAAGGTAACACGGTCTTCAGAAAAGAAATAGAAACTTGGCCAGAGCATGGGAAACATCATTATTATACAAACAGTACCTGTCCTTCATGGCTGTCTGCTTAATTAGGGAATATATACACTAATCTAATTTCTCATGAGTGTTTCTCTTGTTCCCTTTCAGCACATGCAGTGTTGATGTTGTTTTTGTAACTGTAACTTGCACGCTCTAGTCACACGGAGATCTTTGAAGATCCTGCAGTATGATCTTGAGTGTAGCTCTGCAGAGGTATTACTTTCTGCAGGCTTAGGAAAACAGTTTAAGGCAAGTCATAATTTTTGCCTAGCTAGTTCAGCTAATTGAAAACAGATGCCTGCCTGTTGCGTGTTACTTGCTAGTGTGCGTCTTTCTATATGCCTAGGCTCAAAACCTCCATTTTCTTACATAGCAGCACAGTAACCAAAAACAGCTGAACCACTGTGGTTCTGTTGCAGTTGAAGGAGAGAACAGGGGAAAATCACCCAGGCAGTTCATGGCCCTTGTGCCCTCTGGAGTAATGTACTGCAGCAGAGCATAATCGGGTGAGGGCAAGGAAGCAGGGGCCTGACTCGTAGGCAGTAGTTATGTACAGCATGAAGCAAAACGCATAGTCTGGGGAGGTGAATCAGTCACAGCAGATTACAGCCAAAGATGGCACGGGCTAGTGCGTTTGTGTTAGTGCTCTGGAGGAGAAGATTGTTACCTCTGTAAATGCAGACAAATCCCTTAGGTAAGATGGTTTACTTGGACTTTATTTAGGAAATAAAAATGGGATCTTAATATTTATTTTTCTCATCTCATACTGAGATACCGATTTACAGTTAGGAGTCGATCCACAGCAGCGTGTTTAGTGTTGTGCCCTATGTATGCATTGACAATTACCATAGAAATTCAATTACTGTATAATCCTTTATTTTATGACACATCATATTTATTATCTTGGTGGATTTTCAGAAGCTATTGTGTGGCAGGGTTTTGCAGTGATCCTTGTCAGTGCCCAGTTACAGCAAACTATACAGGTTAGCCACACTGTAGCCTAATTTCCTTTCATTAGATAATGTGTAATACTGAACATAGGAAAGGAGAACGATTTAAAATAGATTCATTCTGTAGTCTGAAAAGATGATACGGATACAGGTCACAGAGTTTTCTGGGTCCCAGGAAACTTTAGTTTGGTTAGAAAATTTATTTTCTCATTACTCTGCCATGATTCTAAGTTCTAGGTATGCTGAAATAGAAATCACTCATCCTGAGTCTTAGCTATACCTCATTTGCTGTTGATAAAGTATCAGCATCATACTCGTGATGCTGAAGTATTTAACTAGATGTTTCATTTTTGCTGATTTCATTCAAAATTAGGCTGTGTTGCTGCACAACATCATTGCCTACGTTTTGTTCTCAAGTAGAAGACTACTTGTTAAATAGCCTAGAGTGTCTGAGCGCTTGTTCTTAATATAGTGTATACATATTTGTTAATACGTACTATGTATTAGATTTTACTATATGGAGTCCCCCAATATCTCTGTCAGTATCAGCTTATCTCTAGCTTTTTTATAGTACTATTACTAGAGCTTTTAATTGTTATAATCATCAACACCTTGTAGTGAGTTAAGACGAAAGTATTTATAGTAGTGTTTAGTAAGTAACTTTAGGCAGATGTAAGCAACATGTTTTACTCTCTCATGAGAAAACAGCACATTGCGTTTAAAACAAAATTGCGTTCATATGAACATATTGCTGACTGATCTGGCTACAGAATATTGCCATCAAAAAGGAACGCTTGTCAGGTGAAATGATTGCTACTGCTTGGTTGTCTCAAGGGAAAGTGTGCTGCTCAGTTAGGTGCCCGCTGTATTCGTAGCAATTATGGCATGTTACACTGGTGTGTTCGGCGCACTCTGGACTTCTGTATAACAGAAAATAAACTTGCTTCAACAACATGTTACAGGTTAAATATCTTCCACTTTCAAAGCAAGTATCTACAATTTCAAAATAGTCATCTGTAGCATACTTAAAGTTTGTGCTAGCCGGTAGTAATCGGGGCCTCTTTGTCCAAGGCTCACGTAAGCATGGTACGGTGACTTGTCCGTCTCAAAGTTTTATCAACTTCAGGTTATTCTGTATTACGTTTTCTTCCTCTGGCATTAGTTCGTAAGTAAACTCTTCCTAATACGTGTAATCTGATATTTTAGGAATTAGAACTGGTTGCTAAAAAGAGAGCTGTACACGAACATGGAAAACTGTTCTTGTGCTATGTGGGAATACTCTTTTGGGTAAGACCTAGCTGCCTGATACTGCAGCAGAGATTGGCAACTAATGAATCGAGCCATTTCTTCAATAAAACAAATACATTGAAGGAGTGGAGGAAAATGCTTTCTGGCTGTGTGGAACAACATGGCACATCCAAGTAAAGGAGGATTTTAAAAAACCTTCGCGTGAAGACTCTCTTAAGATTCAGTCCGGTTTTGAACTGAGAGCTGTATGACAGCTGACCTCGCATTACAATAAATAGTTCTGTCCTGTTCATGTGATTAAGAAGTGGGTCTTTGTCCTTTAGGCACTGATTGATTTTGCAAAGGTTTAATTATGCTTTCCAGGTATTGTATTTACCTTTAGCATTGTTTATGGCCACTTCTGTCCTGATGTTTTTTTTTAATCAGCACATTCAAAAAATCATGTCATACTTGGCCTTTTAGAGAGAGGAGTTATGAATGTTTTTTCTCGGATGTGGTCATTTTCACACAGCTGTTGAGAGCTCTCTATGCTGCTTGATATTAAAATGAGATTATGGACTTGTGAACTGTGCTGTGCTTGCTTGACTGTTTCAGGAGATGGAGCCTTATTTGCCTCTAACTAGCCAGGCTGTGCGGTTCTGCATCTCAGGAACTACAGTGTTGTTCTGGGTGAGCATTTTTTGAATCATCGCTTTAATATGTATTATCACTAATCATCACATTAACACATACTAGTGCTTTTAACCTTCCCTTCTACTATTGTCCTGTACGTTCCCTGCTGTCATGCAAAGTGCACTTCAATTCAGATGAAAAAGGTAAAAGATCTTGGAAATTTGTCAGTAACTAGTAATGTGATGAGCCTTTCTAGCATAGGGATAACTATGCTGTTACCAGATCGTCCTGAAAAAACGTAAACGCAAAAAAATGTATATATATATTCACAACAATGACATGTAATGCTAATTTAAGAGAAGTAGCTATACAATGAACTTGCCAGGAAGTGGGCAATATAATTCAAAGTATGTCCTTTCTGTCTTCATTTCTGTGAGTCTGTATTCTTCTGCACTATTTCTTTTTTTGAATATTGGTATTAAATTGTCTTGCTTTTCTTGTGTTAACAAAATAATTTTGATGGATTTAATGTATCTAATAAAAGATGATGTCGCTTGTGTACTTTGCATTTCAGTGATGCTGAACTCATGGCCTTAAAGAATGAAATAAAAAAGTATAAACGTGATTCTTTTTATCTTATTTCCAAAGTTGCATGAATAGAGCTATACTGAGCTGTAAGCGTACATTAAATCTCTGTCCTTTCCTTAGGTATCTCTGATTATAGCTAGCATGATAGCCGTGATCGTGTATCGTCTTGCAGTGTATGCTGCCTTTGCCAGCCTCATGGAGAATACTGAGACTTTAGAACCCATCAGTGGATTACTGACTCCTCAACTGGCAACTTCAGTCACAGCCTCATGCCTGAATTTTGTCATCATCATGATACTTAATTTCTTATATGAGAGAATAGCTATCTGGATTACTGATATGGGTAAGCAGTGCACTTGCAGACAATACTCTCGAGGAGTCACTACAGATAGACTCTGGTAGAGGTGCTTGACGTAGCTGTCCTCACCTTGGGCACGCTGGCAGCATTGTGACGTTTGCAGCAGCTAGTCATTTGTATCTGTGGCTATATGGAATATGTTCCCTGCATTTGAATAGTTACCACAAGCTGGTTTCTCTTAGTATAATGTTTGTATATATTAAAATTAGTCTGACAGAGAGGCAATTATATTTCTGAACATTAATTAAAAATCATTGTGTTACATGAGAATCATCAAAGTGAGATGAAGCTGTCTTGATTTAGCAGTATTTCAGTTAGAAATCCTGAATATGTATGAAGTAATATTCTTAAAAACAGATTACAGCTTTTCAGCAGCCATCTTTACAGGAAAAAAGGCTAAATAATCGTGTCTCTTACTTTGGGGGAAAAGGTAGAAGAGTGGGGGATAGGATGGTGTACACCTTTCAGCTGTTAGCTCAGTACTACCTCCCTTAGCTGTGGATTTACAGATCCAAAGTTACACAGCTTGAAGGCAGAGATGGAGCAGGTCGAGAAGCAGTCAGGCCTAAGATATCTTGTGGCTATGGCCATCGGGAGCCTTGTCTTCAGCAGACTCGTTCCAGAGCTGGTGGCAGGCAGGTGGAACCAGAAGGATCTGTTGGTTTAGTAGCAATTTTATACATGGGTCTTGGGGTGAGAGCTTGAGTGCTGGAAATATGCTTCCCTAGAACAGTTTCTGTGAATTTGGCTGTTTACCTTTAATAATTTGTGCATAGAAGTCTCTATAGGTGCTGTATAGTAAGAAATGATGTTTGCAGAATATTCAGTTTAGGAGAGGGGGAAGCTGAAAAGTATTATGCACTTGTAACTCGTACAGCTGTCATGAAACAGTTGGATGATCTTGTTTATGAGTTCTTATATGTGGAATTAACAAGTGGAAGGTGTTTTTTACAGAAACATAATAGGATGTTGCACTGACTTTATTTTGGTTGATCTGGACCATCTCTAATTCTGAGATCTTTATTGCTTATCTCACTAGATCAAATTTGGCCAATGAAAGACAGAACAAATAATAAGTAAAACTGCGACTAGCAAAAAAAAAAGTCGTCTTTTATGGCTTTTATCTTTCTTGTTGAAGAGAAGACTTTATACTTTATAAGAGTATAAAGGCTCAGTCTTGTTATTTTGCTGCTTGTAAATGTGGAGTATTGTAAGTGTTGGTGCTACTGTGATTATCAGCTACAGAAGAAAAACAGTATTTACTTTTATGGGACTGCTGCCCTCCTATGGCAGCCACAGGAGGCTGCACTCAGCTTGGGTTTAGAGATGAAGTCGAACATGGGAGTATAAAAAAAACACATTGACCGCATCTGTCAAGAGTGTCTGTTCTAACTCCCTTCAGTCTTGATTCCTTTAAAAAGGTTTGGCCAGATTTTGCTTTCAGATGTAGAGGTACAGCCCACCTCTGGTGTTGTGGACATGAAGTGCTTGATGGAATCATTTGAATGGCTCACTGAGAATAAAAAATGCTTAGGCCAAATTCAGAAACATTAATGTACTCCAGTATAAAATACCTTTAGGCTAAGGCAGGTGAGTTCAGCGTGTCTGCCAGACTCTGACCGCTTCAGAGGAGCTGGAATTCTTCTGTTTTATTTTCTTCCCATCTCTTCCGACCTGAATTGGTTATTTGTTGTTATTTAAAATGACGTTTTACTAGTGATGTGCTTAACGCTTCCTACTACTAGAAAAAAGTAAGCAAAATGGAGAATGCGATTATGAGAAGGCAGCAAAATCTTAAGCAAAGGCTTGGTGATATTTAGTATTACCAGAGTTCCTCTATACTTCCCTCATATTCCCCTGCTA